TATTATTAACTTTAACTCAATCAAACACGTAGTCCTCGTGGGTTCGACACTTTACACACTACTATATTACTTGATCACGACCTCGTTCACTTGCGGGAAATCAAACGATCATATATCATATCAAGCCAGAGAAATTGTAATCAAAGATGTGAACCTCTTGCTGAATCATTGCATAGCATGGATCATCAGTAGTGTAATTAGAAATTTGATCCATCTCAAATAGCAGTGATTCTATAGCCCCATACTGTGATGGGAAATCGATGTTCTGTGAATTTTCTAATAAATAATTCATAGGTTCTGGCACGCGGTATTGTGGATCAGGGCTTTCTGATGGCGTACTAAAACATGTTGATGAATCAAATGAAAAGTCGAGGCTATTTTCTTGATATGCATGATCTTCGATATCTATAATTGCCCTAACTTTCTCTACTGGCGGGGAAGTAGATGCATGAGGAGGAGGTGGAGATGAGCCCATGATCGGAGAATTTCCATTTCCATTTCCATTCCCATTCCCATTCCCATTCCCGGTGAGTTCTTGAACAAGATTCTTGAAGTTTGAAGAATCTATGATGTAAACTTTGGGACGTAAATTCTTGATCAAATTGTTGATAATACTTTGTCGTTTCTTGTCGTTTTTGGATATTTTCATGGAAGATTGACTCGATTTCTTCCCCATCTTGCAAGGAAGAATAGGTAAATTTGGTTACTGTTAGACCTTGTTGCCTATATCCGAGGATCCTAAGAGGTATATATATATAATATATATATATACACACACACACGAGGAGGTTTTTACAATTCAAGGTGGAACACAGGAAGATACCGAGAATGATGTTTACATTGTTGACTTCATTCTATTTCTACACGAGGTATGTAAATTATAGTATATACCCACCAGTCGTGTTCGTTACGACTGTAGAACACGCAAGGAATATGCTGAGTTTTGAAATTGCATGGACGTGGTTGGTTTCTTGATGAGGTTGAGTTAAGGGGAAAATGACATAAAAAAAAAAAAAAA